AACGTTCAACAAGATCAAATAAATTTGTTCATCAAAATTTATTAACTGTCTTCAATTTTCCCTTTGAAACTCATATATATTATAAATGAAATAACGATCGAAACCAAAAATATTTTTCCTATTTTCTCTTTTTTTTTTCTTCTTCTTCTTTATTTATTGCAATAAAAATAGATGTATGTATGTATGTTTCATTTGAAACCGATCGAACTGTAAAAGCAATGGATTGAAAAACAAATATATTAGAACTAACATAAATGTATTCCTTCCTCTTCCTCCCCCACCTACAAGAAACATTGATACTTTTTTCTAATACAATAATAAATGGATAAAATAAAAAAAAAAAAAAAAAAACAGAAAAAGAAAAGGCTCGTCAAAAAAATGCCGACCGTAAGAGAAAAAAAACATTGTTCGTTCTCACCCAACCTATCCCCCTTCTCCAATTTTTCTTTACCTTCAAATATAAAATATTATTTTCCTAATGCAATAATAAATAATAAATGAAAGAAGAACATCTTGCCTTGAAGATAGAAAAATCAACAACGAAAAAAAAGAAAAGCAAGAAAAAACAATCGATCGATTAACGGCAAACAAAAACTGCAAGAAAATTTAGACATCGTCGATATTCATAACGGGGTTGGGGCCGGGGAGTGGGGGGTGCTCGGTGGTGTCCGTGGAAAAAGGAACATTGTAAAATAGTAAAACAGCGAATAAGGGTTTGAAAATAGAAAAAAAGTACAAGAAAGAAAGAAAGATAGATAGATAGATAGATAGATAAAAGATAGAAAAAAGAATGAATAGGTCGTTGGATAAAGCGTAGCACGATGTTTGATCTACTCTCGCGTTCGTGCACGAAGAACGAAGTCGACTATCCACCCCCTTTCTCTCACCCATTATCGATGGAAAAGCTTCTGGGCCATCCGTTCGCACCTACCCCTTTTGCCTTTACTTGCCACGGATTATCGATTTACTCGTCCCAACCACCCTAACCCCCCTTCCCCCTACC